TCAGCTCTGCTTTTCTTTCCAGCTGTTTTTTTTTTCTCCAAGGTGAAGAACGAGACGCTCGATTTCATAACGCTGCTTGTTTTGTGTTTGTTTCGATTCAGGACCCCAGGATGCCTTTAACTGATCCAGTCACAGAGGTGATGATGATGATGATGATGATGATGATGATGATGACGATGAAGGAGTTAATTCACGTTGCTGTGTTGTGAACTGACTGTTTTTACATTAATGTCATTAACTGGCTTTGCTGTGAAACGGGAATCGCTCACATTGAACTCACCGATCCATAAATAAGAATCGTGACAGAGCGAGGGAGCGTTGACGCTGAAATCTGACAGAGTTGTAATTTAGTGTTGATGTGATTCTGCTGCAGATGCAGAGGGAAGACCGGCCGGGTCTGACCGCGCTGCTCAGAGTGATGATGGTGATGATGATGATGATGATGATGATGATGGTGCTGGTGGAGGTTGTTTGATTTCAGTTAATGGGAAACGGTTCAGGCCTTTAATTGGTTTGGTTGAAAAGAGAAAGTTTGAAAGGAAGTTAAAGTTGATTTATCCTCTGTTTCAGTTGGACCAGTCTCTGACTTCTCCTCACAAGGTGACACCGATAACGACGTTAAACTGGGTTTTTATTCTCGTGAACGTCGACTAAATATCACGAAGCCGATCATCTGACTGATTTACATACGGACGAGTATGAGGGTCAGACATAGAAGTAAAAAAAAAATCAGATTATCCTCAAAAAGTTATTCTTGATTGGAAAAGTTCAAAAACAACTTTTCTCCCCTGAATTAGTTGGACGTTATTCTGGACATGTTTTATTTTTCGTCTGCCCTCATGCTCCTCCGTATTAACTCTCTGATTTCTGGTGGCTGATGATTTCGGGCTTTTTAAAAAACCAAACATTTTCTATTTCTACGTTAATTTCTGTAGTTGATCGTTATTTACTGTTTGCAAAGAAACGACTAAGTTGCAGTTACAGTCATTTATTTATTCACTTCAACACTATGAAACTTTTACTGGAATAAAAGTAGAAGAAGCTGAGAAGTGTCCAAACATGCAGATGAAAGAGAACATGAAGAAGGACACAGGGGGACGGGGGACGTGTGTGTTTGAGCTCTTGTCCTTCAGTTAAAATGGAAACTGGGCAGTTCTCTCCTACCGTCGCTGTTTCTTTCCTGGGTTTTTAGCGCCACCTATCGCTGTTTCGTGGAATCCTCCTCACCAGTGAACGAATCACTCAATTAATCTCTAATTTCACTCTCTTCTAACCTGATTTCTGTTGTTTCTAATCCTGCACGATGACGCGACGTAAGAAGCAGCTCCGTCCCTCCGTTTTTTTTTTTTTATTCACCTCCAAACTTTGTTTTTCATTTGTGTATGTTTTTCTTTTTTTCTGCGTCTCAGGGAATGAGATCTCAGTCACTGGACATAGAAAACATCGACTCTGGGGTAAAGATTTGTCCGTTTTTATTTATCACATGTTCAGTACAACACGATGACATCATCACTGAGTCACGAGAAGTCCGATTTGGGGAGTGGTCTGCCGGTTGTGACAGGAAGGGGGCGCTGTTCTTTGAGAATCAAACAGCAGTTTCAGTGAATCCTCTCTGTTTGTGATGATTCAGAGGTACCGGATGACGTCAATAGAGTCTCTGGAAATCCCGGAGTGCACTCCTGTCGCCAAGGACACCAGACACGGCCAATGGCTGCGCAGGAGGCGTCTGGACGGCGCCCTGAACCGAGTCCCCGTCGGGTTCTACCAGAAAGTCTGGAAGATCCTGCAGAAGGTCAGACCACGCGCTGTTATGGACTTATATCAGATCTATCAGTCAAATACAACAATACACAAACATTACATTTCATAACCAGATAAGCGTAAAAGAGAATGAAATCAGATTTTTGAGTTTTGGGCCTTTAATTCCTCGTTCTGATGAAACAAACGTGTTTTCCTCCAGTGCCACGGTCTCTCCATCGAGGGGTTTGTTCTTCCTTCTTCTACCACCAGAGAGGTAATGTCTGTTTTCATTGTTCCTCTGATGCTGTCTTCTGTCCTCCTCTCACTTCTCATGTTCTTTGGTCTTTTTTTATTTCACTTCACCACATCACATCACAACCTTTGAGATCTCTGACATTTTATCCTTCAATGCTTTTAATTCAACCGTTGACATTAGAAGAATTAAAACCGCATTGGTATGAGACAGATAAGATCATCTGGATCAAAGATTTAAAAATAGAACGAAGCACTGCGGTAAAACACTCAAGTTCAAATCCTCACTGGTTTTATTTCACTTCTTATCGTTTCTCCAGATGACGCCTGGTGAGATCAAGTTCTCCGTCCACGTGGAGACGGTTTTGAACCGCGTCCCTCAGCCTGAGTACCGGCAGCTGCTGGTGGAGGCCATCTTGGTCCTCACCATGCTGGCTGACGTGGAGATCCAGAGCATCGGCTCCATCATCCACATCGAGAAGATCGTCCACCTCGCCAACGACATGTTCTACAAGGATCAGGTCAGCGTCGCCACCCTCGACTCCCAGATTCTGTGCTTGAGTGGTTCTTAGTTCTTCTCTCCTTCCGCTCCAGATGGACCTCGGAGCAGAGGAGCACATCCTGGACAAGGACCCGGCCACCGGGGTGTGCAGGCTGCTGTACGACAGCGCCCCCAGTGGTCGCTTCGGGAGCATGACCTACCTCACCAAGGCCGTGGCGGAGTACGTGCAGGACCTGCTGCCCAGCGGGTCGTGTGCCGTGCAGTGATCCGACGACCGGCGTGAAACGTAAAACGTTTTCTACCTTGAAGAAACGATAGAGAATGTGTCGACACGAACGCGTGAAGCTGAAGCTCTGAGACGGTTTACGTCCCGCTCTCAGTATTTTGTGCTAAGCTAACTGCTAACTAGCTGTAGCTTCATGTGAACTGCACATCGATGTTTTTCATTTAACTCAACAAAGAACTTATTTCACTCAAAAAAAACGAATCATCGTGTGTTTAACCACTGTTAATTCTTCACACCGATGCTAATCTGTTAGCACTAATGCTACGACTGTTGGAGGAAGAAGGTGAATGCTCCACCTCCCTGGTCTCATGTCACTTTACCTCAAATCCTACATGCTGTAAAAAAAAATAAAAAAAAAACAGTTAAAGAATCTATTTATTTTACATTTAGACGTCAGACGTGTGTTTGACAGGACTCAGATCTGTTCGGGAGATTTCTCTGGAGCCTTAACTCGTAAAGAGTGTGTGAGTGTGTGAGTGAAGCTGTTTAATTGTATCTGTGTAAAACTGGAGCTTGTGCTTTTATCGTGTCCTGTTGGAAAATATACAGATTTTAGCACGATGCTGTTCTTTTAATAGTTATTTTTTGAAAACTACACAGTGAATTCTACATGAGTCAGTGATTTACAGATTATTGTTATTAAGGTCGTTAATATGCTGAGAAGAACAGTGGGAGGAGCCTGTCTGTGTTATTAGGTATGAATAATATCCACTGAACAAACCGTTGGTTTATTGTTTTGTTGTTTTTGAAGCTAATTCTGTAATAAAAGAAGAAAAGATGTTGTTTGAGTTTTTCTTTCTTGTTGTCTGATCTGAACCTGCTCAGTCGTCTGGTGTTAAAGTCCAAGCTCCTCTCAGACGCTTGATGCTGAAGCGAAGAAGAAATGTCGGGTTACCTGCTTCGTTAGGGGGGCGTGTCAGATGAGATGATGGGTGTGCGTTATGCAAATGTGCGCCGCCGCATCTCGTTAGTTACCGAGTGTGGCTGCAGAGGGCGCTGCTGCTCAGTGAAAAGCTGCTTTAATGAGTAACGTCTACTCGTTCAAATAATATTAGAAGAAAGAGAAAATACTGTGTCATGAAAACTGGATGTGTTACGTTAAACTTCATTCTCTAAACACCACCGTTCAAAGTTCAGCTCGCGGGAAAATCCAAGACCCGTGTTCCGTGCACATGAATAAAGTCAACACGCAGCCGGAGGTAAACACAGACGAAGGCTCAGTGCAGCCGTTAAACATCGACCTGTGCAACTGAACATATGTGAACAAACACACAGAATCATGTTTCCTCCTCTCGACCAGGTGAAGTTAAAAGTGCAGGTGCGTGAGTCAGAGTCGTGTTTGCTGCGGGAATCAATACGTCGTCCACATGTGAACGTCCGGCAGGAAACTGCTGAGCCAGCAGATTTCAACAGACCTCGACTCAGGGTTTGTGTTAAAGTTCACGAAACATTTTATAAGTTCCACATCTGCCCCCCCGACGAGTAAAAGTGTTTTGTTGTCTCTCAAAATATGAGATTAAGAGAAATGAAAGATTGATAAACTCACATTATTGATTTTGGTCTTTATTGACGGTAAAATAATAAAAAATTATGATAAAAAAAAGACAAAACTTAAAAAAAAAAGGTGGTTACACATTCATGAATGAAGTTTTTTATCAAATTAAACTTATGAATTGTGTTGATATTAGTTGTAAACTTTATCTGAACAAACATTTTTTGGTTTTACCAATTGAAGTAAATGTTTTAAGTCGGTAAACATCTTTTTTCAGTGTGTTAAATTATTCTAAAACTCAAATGAAAGAAATCCCAGTTGTTATTTTTCAATGCTTTTATTCCTCCTCTTCTCCTCCACACGTCGCTAACGCAGTACGTACAGGACACAGTACAAAGATAATATTTGGTTTAAAAGTGCAATCCTACTCAAACATTTCTCAAACGTGAGTGTACAAAATATCAGCACCCACCCGCTCTGTGCACGACGTAAACTGTGCAGGTGGACGAAGCAAAATCTGAAAATAAAAAACCAAGGCTGTGCGGCTCGTCATCGGGAAACTGTTCCAAATATTTGTACACTCGACCAGGGTTTTTTAAATCTGTTCAGATTGTCTGAGCAAGTAGACAAAAAGTTTTGGGTTATTGATTATTCTAAAATAAGCCACTATTATCATCAGTACGAATATATATGTAAAAAAAAAAAATACTACATAAAGTATATATATGACGTCTATGTATCCTCTGTTTATTATGAATGATGTGTTTGTAGTTTAAGAGATTCAAACTTAACTTGAAAAACTTTTAACAGAATGAAATGAAACGTTGAGGCTGCTCGAGCATCGCTGCAGAATTCCGTAACCTCTGCTCCTTCTCTTCTCTTCTCGCCTCGTTTTCTTGAGGTTGTTCTTCTTTTCCTATTTTTTGTTTCCTCTATTGAAAACTCTGACGGTCGACTGTATTCCCTCTGAGGCAGATATCTGATGTTACGGTTCAATTTACATTTGGTCGTTCTGTTAAACAGGAAATAAGAACTTTTTTTGGGCCAAAGCACATTTCTCTGGGGTTTTTGAAGCCTGACGATTCTCAGCTCCGAGGAGGAGGTGAGTTCAGGGCCACAGTAACTGGCAGGACAGAGAGTACGAAGTTAAAAACTTCATTTGAGATCAGGGCTGAGGGAGTTTGGTCCATAGAAGTAGAAATAACAGTAAAAAAAAAAAGGTTTGAAGTTGTTCGGACCACGTTAAAAAACTTTCTCACTGATCCTCTCGTGGAAAATATCAAGTGATACTTCTCATTTTCAATCGGTGGATCAATAGCGTGCTTTTCTTACATATGAGCTACTTGCTTGTGTGAATCCATAGAAACCTTTAGATTTCATCCGAAACAAATTGGTACATATAAATACAAAAGTCCGATTAAAGAGCCTGGGTAAGTTCCAGTCATCAGAACCCCTCGTACGGATCACGTCTGTCCTCTCAGGTCAACGTGTCCCGAGGACGTTCAGTACTTCACAGGCTCGGCGGGGGAACGATGGCTGGTGGAGCAGTGACCCGCCCTGAAGACGACAGGAGAAAAACAAGAATCTCTGTTAGATGCTTCTCGGTTCTTCGCCAAGGACAAAGACGCCAACATTTTCTGTCAGTTTTGTATTATTTATTGTGCATGTTTTATAAAGAATATCCAGTCTTATACAGTAAATAAACTAAAAGAAATGCTAAGCTAACTGCTTAAAGGTCCAGTGTGCAAGATGGGGGGTATTCAGCTGCAACGTGCAACTCCACCACTAGATGTCACTAATTCTACACACTGAACCTTTAAATGACTAGAATGTTTCAATAAGAGCTTCTTAATGCTTTAGCTCATATTGACTCGAGTGTAAGCGACCTGAATTAAGTGATTTTTAACATTTGCATGAGCTTCGTACATCAGTGATGATAATAATATATATATATATATATATCATTTTAAATCAGTTACCTGCAGAGTCCTGTGGAGCACTCGTAGTTGTTTTGGCAGTACGCTCCGAATGGTTTACTGCTCATGATTCTCCACAGCGGGGTCATCCGAGCGACCCTCCTCAGCGTGTGGACGCTTGAGTCTGAACTCTGGTCGGAGTCGGACTCCAGCCGAGAGGCCAGCGGACCCGCACACACCTGCGACACACACACACACACACGAGTGAGGGTTAGAAACCAAGAACAAGGAAGAACCTGACACGCTCCACGATTTAACATTGATTTATCAGAATAATTCTCCGTAGTTTCCCTGTTGGACACGTGCTGGATCAAAGTGTTGAGATAATACCACACAGTTTATGATTATTGTGTTTTAATGATATACTGGAGCTTCATTTGCTGGTAGGTTGATTTTCCTTTGAGATTTTTATCCGTCTACAGTTTTCAAGATCAATAATTAACTTTTAAGTTCAACGCCACCAATTAGTTTGTGTCTCAGAAGTTAAAATACTTAAAAAGATTAATTTTTATATATGGGTAAGTTATTATTATAGTACATTTTAGCAATAGCACGACATATTTTGTCCATTTCCTCTCTGAAACTGTTGTTTTACTAGATCTATCTCATGATTAGCTTCACTTTAAATGCATCAAATCGATTTTTTTACAGTGTGTCATAGTTTATAATATGTCTCACACTCAAAAAGACTTTTCAGTTTATTTCAGTGCATCCTCTGACACATGTATCTGGAGTTCCACTCACCTGCTGAGCCAGCATCAACAGCACAATGCACAGAGCCACCGCTGCTCTGCTTTGGACCAAACTTCTTCTCTGCTGCATCTTTTCAGCTCCTCCGGGCTCCTCGGAGATCTCTGCAGGACTCAGTCCAAATAGTGAGTCTGGAGTTTGTGAGGAGTCAGGCTCAGGTCAGCTCGTGCTCGGCTGTGGCACCGGCAGAGGAGTCCGAGCTCTCCTTTATATAGACCGGCCATGATCCCAGGAGACGAGAGGGGAGAGGGAGGGAGAGAGAGTCACAGTCCATCATGTGTCCACCCCTCGCTCCACCTCTCTCTCTCGCTTTATCTCTCTTTTCTGGCCCAAATGTGACGAGATGTGTTTGCATAAAACCGGTCATTCCCCAAACATGTGTGTGTGTGTGTGTGTGATAATGCTTTAATCAATCTGCAGAGTCTGCAACATATCTTATCCTGATGCAATCTAACCAACAGTCTCACTTATATAATACAGATATATACAAATATATAAGCAGCCGCTGTGGTTTACATAAGCAGGTGCACAGAACACAAGACCCGACACATGACATCAGATGTGCTCCTGCATTTAAACAATGAAAGGCCGTCGATAAGCCTGAAGGCTGCACGACAAGTCTGGACTCAGAGGAACTGAAATCAAAGTGTGTGTACTTCAAATTGTGTTCACTCTGTTGTGGTTCTGCATGTTTCTGTCATAGACTGTAAATAAATGCTATCTCCACTATGGAGATATGGAGCCCAGATGTCTGAATACGTCAAGGTCCTGCTCGTGCACTTCTTCCACGATCGCTCCAAATGCACAAGATGGCCGTGATCACACGAGAGATATTTTGGCTTTTCATTTCTGGGAAAGTGAGAAGAAAAGTGGAGACTATTTTTCTTTGTCTGTCTCTTTAACCGAGGGACAGATGACCGACTCCTTCACACTGCTCTGCTCTGGTTATTTGCACAGCAGCGGGCTGAGGGCTGCACCCGGGTACCAAGTCCAGTCCGGGGGCCAGGCGGGCCTTATATTTGAGGTCAGTGGAGAGATCAGGTCTAATCTTAACTAAACGGCCGGGAGGTCGAGGTATTTCCTAATTGTACACGTGAGCTGCCAAGTCGTGCCTGTGTCTGCAGATTTCCATCTTTTATAATTGGTTAACTGGGTAATTAAGTCAAAGGTGAGGGCAGAGTCTTTCACACCTAAACGCCGGCGTTACATCACAGCAGCAATAATGGTCCCCTTTCAGTTTTCATTTCAACTTCTGCATTTGTCCAGTTTGATGGACCTGGACGAGGACCAGCTTGTTTTCATCCAGAGGGAGTCGAGACAGAGAGACGCTGCGTGTTGGGTGAAAGACGAGCTCTCGGCTGAGGTATGTTTAAACACTCACAGGAATTGGAGAACGAGGGGGAAAGAGATTTCATGGAGAGGACGCACTGGAACATTCTTGTGTCGATTCCTGTCAGGTTAATCATCAAGGAGAAGCCCCCCCTCCCCACCCCCACCCCCATCCCCAGGAGCACGAGACTGACAGGAATCCCCTGCTCTGTAAAACTCAGCACATGTGCGTCATATGTTATCGGCAGGCGTGACTCATCAGATTGTGCGAGACAGGCCGAGCAGCTGCAGAGTGGAGCTGCAGAGACGCAGATCTGGAAGTTGAAGGTTTTTCTGTGAGTTTAATGATGCTTGTTATCAAAGAGACAGTTTATCTATTTTACATTTTTAATTTTAGAGCTTTGATGCGGAGACAAACAGGGTTTGTACCGGGCTCGTGAGTTTCCCTTTGAGCAGAGTCACTCCTCTGCCCTCTGTGGTGTCTGAACTTTAAACGTCGATTGCTGTGAAGTAAAAGGAAATAATTCCTTTGGACAAACGGATCGAAGGGAGGGTTCAGACACGACCTCGTCTGACCAGCTCTCGGTCCTCGCGTGGTCTGAACAGCCTGACGTTCACAGAACAGATACCCAGAAATAAAGGCCTTGAGTCGCAGCCAATAAATCTCTGATAGTGGACGTGGGGACAGTTCATCTGTGTCAGCGCTTATCTCTTATCTGTCTCTGTAAACATGATATTATGGTTCTTACAAGGAACAAACACCTTTCGTGTGACTTTTCATTTTCTGAGATCACAATGTTTTATTTTCTACACAATTGCAGACGTTTAAATTTAACCGAAATTCTACTTTTGATCAAAGAGACTTAAAGGACTAAGATTTGCTCAATGTATTCAAATCACTGCTGGCGAACTGCGAATTGATCACAAAGTGACACAAAACCACCATAAAGAGCAAAAACAACCACAGGGAGACACAGAAAGACATGAAATGAAGATGAAAACTTCCAAAAACAGAGATAAAGTGATGCAGGAAGATAGAAAAGAACGATTAAGAGGCAAATCTAACATTTTTATAAAGAGACACAACTAACATGCAGAGGAAGCAACGACCGTGGAGCTGCAACATCCTGAACAATGTTCTTCTTTGCTGATGATCACGTGTTTTATATGAACTTATTTCACTTAAAAAAATCATCACAGCCCCAAGGATCAAACCTGACAAAGCAGAAACTCAGATTCCTTGAATGTGGAATTCAGTTAAATTAAACTTCACGACAACAGCAGCGATGCTGATGCTGCTCTTTCCTCCACCTGAGCAGCTGTTTTATCACAGAGCTCAGTTTAGTTTCCTTTCTCTCAGCTCTTCTCCGGACCTGTTTGTATTTATATCCGTTTCTCAGTAGCGCGCTTCGTTCTCAGACTGTTGACTCGGACGTTTTGTTGACTGTTCCTTTTTTATTTGAGCTGACAAACAAGGTTTCTGTGTGATTTGGCTCGTGGTCAGCCATCGCCGAATGGATCTCCTCTCTCTCTCTCTCTCTCTCTCTCTCCTGTCTGCACAGTCAGATCATTTTAAATGTCTGACGTTCTCACCTTATATGAACTGATTCAATCAATACCTGAGTCTTGAGTGTCTCCAGAGCTGAACTCAGATAATCATGAAATCTGGTACCAACCATTCACGCTCCCCAGAGGACGGACTTTAACTTTGAACCTTTGACTTTTCATCCAGAAACAACCTGTCCTCAGTCACACTCACACCATCGCGTGGTCAAACACGACCCAACGACAAATCTGAGCAACAAATCCACATGTTGATGGAAGATGTGTGATCATGAAGTCATGAGTGTTCTTCATCGCAGGAGTCGTCCAGCTTCGCTGATCCCAGGTCTGTACACAGTGACACACAGATACGGTAAATTCAAACTCTGACTCATTTCATCCATCACACACACACACACACACACACACACACTCTCTCAAATCCCTTCAGGAAACAGACGGGGAGTTCAGGCCCATAAAGCTGAGGCTTTCCAGTCAATCAGTGATGAAGTGTTTCTGTAACAGATAAAAGAAGAAGAAGAAGAAGAAACACGACCTGAATCAAACATCGTCTCATGTTAAATGATCCAGTGACGTCGCTTCACTTGTATGTGACCTGACTTTGACCCACAGGAGCCACGACGCAGCTCATATTCTTCTTATTCTAACAAAAACAAACGTAAGGTGACATTAAATTCTGTCAACTGCAGTTTTTGAAGACGGAAATTCAGTTTGATCCAGAAATAAAATATTCTTTTATATACGATATGAGATAGATGTATAACAAGACATAATGTTCATCCGCTAAGGATGATATTAATGAGTGTGTGTAATTTCACAGTTCACTACATGCTCTAGTTTCTTTTATTTAAATCCTCACTGGAAAGTGGGTTTTAAAATTCCTGCTTGTGACAAAGTGAATGAGTGTGAGAGATGAAGGTGCACGTGTAGGACGACACAACGCAAACTAAATTCAATGTATATTGAAGTTACAACAAGATACATGTTGGAAATGAAGAGAAATCACAGATAAGGTGTTTACCAGAGATAAGCAGGTCACACGTTCACAATTCATGTGTTTGTTGTATCATTACTGAGTGTGTGTGTGTGTGTGTGTGTGTGTGTATGATAACATTTAAAGTGCATGTAAAATGTGGACGTGCTTCCGTCGACTCACACAGAAATCCCTGTTGTGTGTGTTGGTAAACGGCTCCACTGTGACCCACTTACAGTCCCTGATACAGAGCAAAGTGCGTCTCACACACACACACACACACACACACACACACACACACACACACACACACCCACACCCACACCCACACACACACACACACTCGACCTCGACCTTCATCTCAGAAACTCAGAGTTTAGATGAAACGATACATGAGGTGAAATAAAAACACTGGATTGTATCAGGAACTATTTAGACGAGAGCTGTAAACTGTAACCGACTGATAAATAAAACTGAACTCGTCATTTGTTACTGATTTATACACAAAACATTCAAAAACTTTTATAAACGGTTCGGTAACATTTACAACTGCAGATTTATTATCCAACATAACTTATTCTACTAAGTGTGGGTCGGTCAATAAAAGAAACGAATGACTTGTTATGCAGTAAAAGTTTTATATTGTGAGGCCAGAAAAGCACCATTAAATGTATTATTTGTATTATTATAAGTTATACATATCGTACATAAAACATTTATTGTACCTGTATATATTATATATGATTAAGGTCAAAGGTCAGGCAGCAGGTGAAGAGCCGGCTGTCGATGTGGCGTCCTCTATTGATTCAACTTCTGTTTGTTTGTTCCTTCTGAAAACCTGACGTGTTTTCTTTTCCTCATCAACTCTTTTTTTTTAAATCATTTAAATATAAATGTTGTTTATTTGCAATTCCATGTGTTTCTCTGGTGGAACATTAAATTACAGGTTCAACTAATACGATCGCATCAACCAAAGATTAGAAAAATGAGGGTCGGAGCTCAGATTATCAGAGAAGTTCGATGAGTGAGAAGAACTCAGAACATCTGAGGAGTCTGTGGCTGCTTCGATATGTTTTAATCATGTTCGGATTGTTTATCTCCAGTTTTTTCTTCATGTGAATCTCACCCGACCTTCAACAGAGGCTCCTCCTGATAGTGAGGTCAGGGAGAAATAAGACAAACAAACTAAAATAGATTTATAAAAGAGAGAAGTGCAAACCAGACACATATAACTCCTCATTACTACAGTAAATACCCAGTCAATGAATTCCTCTTCAAGTAAACTTAGTGTCTTAATTATTCAAACTGATTCTTTATATTTTTCTGTGAACAAAAAACTTTATGCAGCATCTTGGTGAACAGTGCCACCTCGTGGATGTTTTGCATGAATGCACATTGCTGAGATTTTTTTTTCTTTTTCTTTAACACTGAAAAGTAACTTCATGGATCTGTTTTTATCACTCAGTCTGTTAGTCAACAAAAAGTCTATTGAATATGTGTAAATGTGTAAAAGTTATTTGTGTAATTCAGACTCTTTACAGTAAAATAGTGACCAGTGCACAAATCAACTCCACCACCAGTGAAGAACTTTGAGCATCGATCAGCCTGACGTCAGGATGAACTGGAGACATGATTTGCTTTAGGAGCTGGAACAGAACAAACTCTGGATTATGATGCTTATGATTCCTTCTGCTCTCTGGACCTGATTCTCCCAAAGGGACCACGTGTCTCTTTGTTTGTCCAACGATCTTCAGCAAACCTCAACAATGTGGTTCAAACAGAAAACCAATGTAACCAACACAAAATACAACTGTTCACAAACACTTTCAATAAAAGTGTTTTCCTTGGTGTTTGCATCAAAAAACGGTCCCATGGTACTTGTAGGTTTCTGTATTTACCGAGTATGATGCTGCACTTAATGAAACGTAACATCAGGGTTGTGTTTTGGCACCTTTACGCACCTTTACGCACCTTTACGCACCTTTACGCACCTTTACGCACCTTTACGCACCTTTACGCACCTTTACGCACCNGCACCTTTACGCACCTTTACGCACCTTTACGCACCTTTACGCACCTTTACGCACCTTTACGCACCTTTACGCACCTTTACGCACCAATCACGTGGCTCCCTGGAGCCTCTGTGGGCGGTTCCCGATCATCCGAAGGGTTAATTGGGGTCAGAGGTGATTTCAGGAAGTTGATCGTCACCCCTGAAATGTCCGGTGATCGTGTGTTCCTGTAAAACGCGCCCTCGGCCGCGCTGAGGATGGTTTCCAGTCACAGCCTGGTCCGTGGAGCTCGCTGACACCAGAGGTTTTTTTTTGTTTTTTTTATATATGAGCAACATGAGGGCGACGAGCACCAAACACGGGCCCCTGCGTGTGTGCGTCCTCTCCTGCTTCATCGTCTTCCTGCTCAGCTCCACCTGCACCGGGGTCCTCTCCGGGCGGAACGCGGCCTCCCGGCAAACCGCGCTCAAGCGCAGCCGTCGCGGTGTTTCGAGCCCGAAGCAGGTTGACGCGCACCACCGGACGACGGACGAGCAGCGGGGGGACCAGAACGTGCAGTTCATGCTTAGCTTGTACCGGAGCGCGGCGGAACCGGACGGGAGGCCCAAACAGCACCGGAAGTTCGGCTCCAACACGGTACGCCTGCTCAGACCCTCGGCCTCCACGGTGCACTACCAACCTGCGTCCAGAGGTGAGGCAGCCAACTTACCTCATGTCCTCACGTGCTTTGTTGTATTGTGTGTGTGTGTGTGTGTGTGTGTTGTGATTATTGAGGTCATAACAAGCAAAAGAGAAGATAATATATTTTGGATCTGGAAAAGGCCCGACAGTCTCCTTATTAAATCCACCACATCTGGATTTTTATTTGGATTTTCACCAAATCACCTTTGCAATAAATTTTAGTTTTTGGTTTTCACGACAAAAACAAAGAGAATCCTGGGAGAAGCTCTCGTCTCCTCCATCAGCTGCTCAAACAGAAGCTGCTGCCGGACTCAGTGTTGATTGATTTCTGTTCTGTCCCTTCAGACCACCACTACACCTTCACGGTTCAGTACAACCTCGACACTCTCCCCTCCGAGCAGCTGATCAGAGCCTCTTTCGTCCACCTCCGCTCTTCATCCCCTCCCTCCTCATCCTCCACCTCTTTTTCCAGCTCCGCCCAGGCCCCCGAGCCGCTCCGCTGCAGAGCCCAGATCCCCTCGCTGGGCCCGGAGAGCCAGGTCACCCTGGAGCCCCACGAGCAGTGGACAGAGATGGACATCACGGCACACGTTACGGGACACGTCCTGCAAAGGAAGGAGCAGGACGTGGGCGGACACCTGACCCTCACCGCCCAGTACTGGTGCACAGAACCTCGGCTCGCCGGAGAGGAGGGCGGCCCCTGGTGGTGGTGGGGGTCTCGTCTTCGAGGACGACGGAGAGAGGAAGCTCACCTCGAAGTCCCGTCTCTGCTTCTGTACTTGGAGGAAGAGAGGGAAGGGAAGGACTGGATGGCGGAGCTGTTGGGGGCTGAAGGGAGAAACATCATGAGACAAATTGGGCGGTTGCACCCTTCAGTACGCCGCCGCCGTCGCTCCAAAGACTCCTCGTCTTCAGAGTCAAAAGATCCTTTGCTGGACGCTCTGAGAAACGCCCCGACTTCCTCGTCTTCCTCTTTTTCCTCCTCCCCCTCGGCCTCCATCGTCCCCGACATACCTAACTACAAACGCAAAACCAGCGTGCCCAAGAACCGCTGCAAGCTCCACTCGTTCAGCCTCTCCTTCGACGAGCTCGGCTGGGGCCACTACTTCATCGCCCCGCCGGTCTACAACCCCCGCTTCTGTCAAGGCGACTGCCCGCGGGTGCTTCACAGCGGCTACCACTCCCCCAACCACGCCATCGTCCAGACGCTCATCAACGACCTGGGCCTCGGGGACGTCCCCCCACCGTCCTGCGTGCCTTGCAAGTACATGCCCATGAGCGTGCTGGTGGTGCACAAGAAGAAGGTAGAGTACAAGGAGTTTGAGGACATGGTGGCCGAGTCGTGCACGTGTCGCTAAAAAGCACTCGGGAGCAAAGAGGACTAAAAGCGGGAGGCGGACTTGACGGGTCATTTGATCTGAAGGCGGCGGTGGCGGCTAACCATAACGAGCTGGAGGCTGGAAGCAGGAAGTCGTTGTGGTTGCAGATCCTCACCATCACTGTGAAAGCACTTTAAACCGGCAGCTGCTGGATGTGAACTCTGGGCTGTGCCGACGGGAGCGAGTCCCAGACTTTACGATTGAACTGATAATAATTGTAATGTGATTCTGAGCTGGTTGCTCCGTTTCACACTCACTGTCGTGTTTGCACTTTGCCGCAGATTTGTGTTGGAAGCATTTTAAGACACTTGTGAGTAATTTAACTAAACAGGTTTGAGTGGTCATTTCACAAATTCAACTTCTGCAGAAATTCGACTTCACACTTTTTTAAGAAAACTTTAGGATCAACCACAAATCGTCTCATGAATCTTTCTTTTCTCTCTGTGTTAATGTATCAATTATTTTTTTTCTGTATCTCTTTTATAAAAAAAAAAATTGAAAAAAATACCTGGTCTGTTTCACATCAGGGAGATGTGGGAGATGCTGATTTCTCAACATCCTCTCTGGATGTTGAGAAATCAGACAAGCGAGTATTTTTATTGGACGAGGGGTCGAGCGTGTTGGATGTAACTGTAAAGAATTTATTGTGATGTTACTTTTTTTGCTGTTAACAGTCTCTACTTTTGCATTTTGTACGTATTTATAACGGGAGGGGGATTTGGAAAGGAAACTTCTTGTAGAGAGAAACTAAAGAAAAAAAAAAAAAGGTCTGATAACGAGGTGCAATGTTAAAGAAAACTAAAGTATTGTAATGGAGACAAATGCAATTTTTATTACGAATGAAAATTATTAATAAAATGAAATGCATGTTTTCTAAGGTCTACTATAATGTCTTTATTTTGGTGAAGTGTTCTGTTGTTTGAAAACGACGTGGATTTTCCCTCCATGATAACAAATGAACTGTAAAATCTCCAGGTTTGAGTTGACGAGAGAATCACGGAGCTGACATCAACGTTTTCGCTTCCTTACTGAGAGAATAATAAATTGATCTTGATGAAAACAAAAATCTGACATATTTCTGATTTGACTGTGGTTTCGTGAGGAGACTGTCGGGCCTCGGTGGAGAAACGAGCGCCAATTAGTGACATTCTAGTAAAGCTAACGGGTTTAATGTTCAGAAACACTTCCACATGTAAATAATACACACAGTCCGATCTTAAAGTCTTTCCTCAGGCTTTCTTTATTTACTGTTTATGTGTGTTTGCAGTTTTCCCACACTCCCTCCGCAGCCTGAAGAGATTGGGATTGTAGATAATCACTTGTGGAATGCTACTACACTGTGGTGCCACTAAACTGTGTGTGTGTGTGTGTGTGAGACTATACCTCTGCACGTGTCATGAGACAGGGTGGACAGACGTGAACGTGTCCAGACGTCTCTCCTCTCAGACCACGAGGACTTTGTTTTGGTCCGTGTCTCTTGCTGTAAAAACTCTCAACTGTAATATTTGGTTTCGGTGAGCGAGCGCTGCTTTCATGTGAACTCAAGTTTAAATGAAAAATGAAAAGTGGTTCGTCCTCCGGCTCGTGTTTCTTTCATTTCTTTTTATTTCAGGTTAAAAACAGAAACAGGATGAGGTTTGTTCGGCTCCTCCCTGCTGAGAACAATTTAGCTGCAAATTATACAAACAGACAAAATGTAGCCTATGAAGAAAGTCTGTGAGTTACAGCATCTAAATATAAAAACTACACCACAATAGAAAAACAAATGTAAGAAAGTATCACAGACAAACAGAGCAAATTACAAATTACTCTCACTAAGCAGCAGTACTTCATATCTTGTAGTTTTTGGGGTTTTATCCTTAAATATATCCCAGCTGTGAATTGTTTTTATGTGATTATAGCGAAGTTGAAATATATTTTCAGAATTGCTAATTCTTGTGGTGCAGTGCTGTTATTCTACCACCTGATGGCTCCACCGTGCTTCATTGAACAAATCAGACTGAATATAAAGATGGACGACATTACAGCTCCCTGAAAGTGGAGCCAAATAATCAGGATTGCCCCCTGGTGGCTGGCCGCAGTATGGATCCTAAACCCTGCCTCCTCTGTGTTAGTGGATGGGACTTGGCGCTAACTTTAAAAAGTCAAAGTGGACATTAGAATGAACCTTGGTGTGTTTTTGCTGATGAATATTTTAAATGTCAGTAATACAAATATAGATGACTTGATATAATATAAAAGACCCGTTTGACACCATCATGAGTGTTTTCTCTTGGATTCCACATGAAACATACAATTACATACTGATGGCTTATATTTTCCAGTGTATTTAATATTCTCATATATTTAAAAAGGCACATTTCCTCCCAGCGTATCTGTTAAAAACATTCACATACGATCTGCTAAGTAAAGCTGACAGAAGAACATTGTGAAACATCATGATTGATTATTAAATAAACTCAACAAATGTTGCTGGTTATCACTGGAGCAGAAACTGTGACGTTTCCTGTGTAACTCTGCTGAGAGTTTGTGATTGCTTGTTTGAATGTGTCCTAATTTGGTGGTTGAGCGAAGCACAGCGGAATGACTGGTCAGGCCTTGGAAATGTGTGGGACGCGATAGCAGATGTTGTTGTTGTTGTTGTTGGCCTGCGGGCTCGTGCACTGAAGGTGCTCGTGCTGCAGGTCTGCAGAACCTCGGCTTTTACGAACTTCGCCTCGAGGACAGAACAAGTCAATCAGTGTGTACTCGTCCTAGTTCAGGAGTGAACCACTTCGTTGGGAATCAGCAGGGATGCTTGTGATCACAGCTCTAGTCCAACATGAATACAACCACATCAGACTCAAACACTTTCATCATCCGTCAGCAGAAACACACGTGATATTCGACAACGTGAGTCCAAAAGAAAAGGGTCCAATTGTTTTGGACTTGAACGAAGTTTAAAAACTTTTTTGGGCAGATATATAAAGAGATATAAATAATAATCTTCATTTGTAAGATAGAAGGGATGTGATACCAAAATAAAAGATTAAAATAATACATAATTCAGCAATAAAAATAAAGCAGAATAGATTTATACAAATGAAACATTAAATCTGAATACAAAGATGATAATGATTAGATTTCAACAAATACATTTATTTCTTTATTTTCTCTTTAAAACGTTAAAAAATTAAACTAATGAAATTAACTAATAAATACAAAATAAAAGTCTCTTAATCGTCCTCCTCGTGTGATTCCAATGCGCTGTTCACGATTGGCTACTTGAATCCAAAGCCTCTCTGCTATTGGCGGAGGCACCTGTCAATCACACCGTGAAGTTCGAACAGTGGGCGGGGCCTGGCTGCCTCGCGCTGGGAAAAGTTTTCCCGAAGTTTGCGGCTGCGGAAGTTAGCGAAGGTGAGACCGGAAACACGAGGGTTACACAGCGAAATAAAAGCGTTTGAGCGACACATTTTGCGGGAACAATGCGGTTATCAGTTTGCGGGATTCAACAAAAAGAAGCGCAGAAACATTTGATTTAAAAAAAAGAGCGGGATTAAAAACGTTAAACATGCTAACGTCCGTTTTTAGCTAACGGGTACCCATTCTGACCGGAAGTTGTAACCGTGAAGTTGTGGGTAACTTTGTCCGGACACTTTCTGTCCTCCCCCTCTCCCTCTCTCTCCCTCCCTCCCTCCCTCCGTCCGTGCCTCCACACTTCATCCACCCGCTCCTTGTTGTCGCTCCTGCGGGGATGGAGCTGCCGAGACACCGCTACCGGCGCCGCTAAGCTAGCGACGGACCACCGCAGCCCGGCCACCGCACCGAGGAGCAGGGCGGAGGAGGAGGAGGAGAAGAAGAAGAAGAAGGAGGAGAAGAAGAAGGAGGAGAAGAAGAAGAAAGTGAACGGATAACGGACACACAGAAAGAGAGGGAGAGAAAGAAAGGATGGAAACGGTCGAGCAGCTCGTCTCCTTCCACCACATTCAGGTCCAGTTGAGCGGGGGAGCACCGTGGGGGTTCACGCTGAAAGGAGGACTGGAGCACGGGGAGCCGCTCATCATCACTAAAGTGAGTCCAGCTCCACTGAGGATAAAGATCAATAATTAATACACTCATGATAAAGATCAATAATTAATACACTGATGATAAAGATCAATAATCAATACACTGATGATAAAGATCAATAATAATACTCTGATGATAAAGATCAATAATTAATACACTGATGATAAATATCAATAATCAATACAAGTGAGCAACTAATGATAACATCCAGCAGTCAACTTATGATGATGTTCACTAATCAATAAACTGATCAACAACAAGGATCAGATTTAACATTAAAAGTTTCACTCTGAGTTTTATATGCAAACTGTTTGTCAACCAACTTGTAACTACAGCAGTCAGTTAAATGTAATAGAGTACTCTGTTGCTCTCTGAGATGTGATGGAGTACAGTATTACTCTGTGTATTGTGATGGAGTACTCTGTTGCTCTCTGAGATGTGATGGAGTACAGTATTACTCTCTGTATTGTGATGGAGTACAGTATTACTCTCTGTATTGTGATGGAGTACAGTATTACTCTCTGTATTGTGATGGAGTACAGGTAGAAAGATTCATGTACACATGATGCATCTCACATGAAAGTAAACAAGACAGGTAGAAAGTAAAAATATAATAATACTAAAGCATAATATCCATCAATCTTACATTGCAAAGTAACTTTGAACTAAGAAGTCAAACACATGTCGTGGAATACAAGAGTACCCTCTAAAAGGTATCAAGTGTTTCTACTCTGACACTTTCTACTTGTACTCCATTACATTCACTGCTTTAGATAAATATGAGATCTTAAATATGAGATCTCTCTATAACACGTCTTCAGCCTTCATCAAGTCGGACAGCTTCACCAGAACAGCAGTTGTGATGAGCTTTGTGTGTGTGTGTGGGATCTTTTAGCCGCTTGGTTTAAACTTTTCAACTCCAAACGTCTCGTCTGTTCTGAAGTTTCACTCTTCCTCCTCCTCCTCCTCCTCCTCCTCTCAGGCAGAGAATAAAAAGTTATTTCCAAGCACTGAAGCAAATATCCGGCGCGGGTTGATGTTTGTCAGCTGTCACTGTCTATGAATGAAAAGCACTATATAATCTGATGGAGTGGTCGGGTCCTCAAACCTGGAGGTCAGAGGGTTTTCACAGGGGTGCTAAAAGGGGTTCCTGTGGGGGGGGGGGGACCCACGAAACGGCTCGGTTCATCTTCCTGTTGCGTTGGTCAGCGGGTGGCTAAAATACTCGAACGTTGACAGACGACTTAAAACCGCTCCGGTGTCTGTGGGATGTGGGATGGTTGTAATTTCTCTCTGCGTGTTTGTCACTGACCCTTTTTTTTTTTTTTGCAAAAGCTCGCCACAGCAGCATCCTCGTGAATTGACAGAAAACAAAGCGGGAGGTGATGAGAGTTGATGGACGCGCAGAACGACGTGCAGCGCGCTCTGCTGTTAGCTCTGCGGAGCCGTAATCTGGGGGTTGTCTCGCACTCAGGTGTGCGTATTTGGGAAAGTTTGAGGGCTTTGTGGGAGATTTAGTGCGTGCTTACAGATTTGGACGTGACCTCGCCTTGTGCGATAAAGTCGTGGGGGGGCCGGCTTTTCCTCCCGGCCTCTTCTCACTGACCGGCAGTGAGCTGCTGGAAATAAGGAGAGTGTCTTTTGAATTACTGCAAGTAATTATTGGTGTGTGTTCGGCTGGGGGTGGTCTGCATGCATGTGTGTGTGTTCAGTCCAGTGCATAAGTAGGCCGGCTGACGTGCAACCTCTGCTCGCTCTCCCTCCGTCTCTTTATATCTTTCCCTCTCTCGCCCACTCTGCTGAAAAGTCGCAGCAGCGGTGGTGTAAATGTTGGCCGGTGTGCATCCATATTCACCACAGCGCCACAGTGGGGAATGGAAAAGCCTGGCTCAGTCATCTGGAAACACACACACACACACACACACACACACACACACACACACACACACACACAGTAACACAGCCCCTGGGAAAATGTGACTGGGACTGCTAAAGGAGATGAAAATCAAAATGTGGTCTATGGGTGTTTTGTGTCCAGTGGCCTGTTAAAACACACAAACACACACACACACAATAAAGCAGCTCAGGCGGTGAGAGCTGAACCGGGAACTTTAGTGTAGAAAAAGTGTTTAATGATTAAGTGTAAAGTCCTTGAAGGAAAGAAGAGAGAGTCAGGATGGAGAGAAGGTAAAGTTGAGGTTTGTGTGTGTGTGTGTGTGTGTGTTTGTGTGTGTGTGTGTGTGTGTGTGTGTGTGTGTGTGTTTGTGTGTGTGTGTAAGACAAGAGTTTATACATATGTTTTAGGTCTAGCGAGGGTGAGAGGGTTTCCATCGGCCTCAGAACAGAGGTTTACAGTGTCTGTACTGCTGAATACAGTCGTTAATTCAACCCCCTCACGTTCGAGAGGAAGAGGGATCAGTGTGTTTGTGTGTGATCCTCACATTTGTCATGTGAAAAAAAAGCCAGAACCTTTAGTTGCTGATGTAATATTTGATAAAAACTTTATTAATCCCTGGGGGGAGTGAAGCGATGTATCACAGTGACGCATGCTTCTATGTGTCAGGCGACTTGCTGAAGGTCTGGAAAGTGAAGCCAATACAGAAGTTCCTGAAATCTGTTTTCTCGAGAATGCGAGAATTATTTTTGAAAGCTAGTAGCGTCCAATGGGAGCCGGTCGCAGGTATAGGTGGGCGTGCGCTGTCGTCCAGCTCTCAGTCAGACTACACTCCAAGTTTCCTCTGGTTTTGAAATAACCAAGATGGCGCTGGATAAACCTCGAAGCCTTAAAAAACGGCAGCTCAGTAACCGGTGGATGACGGCACATTGGTTACTCGGTCTGACCACGCTGCGGAGTGAAAAACCATCTGTCATACAGAGCAGGGCGCCATGACATCATCTAAATATGAGGATAACGGTGCACCTTTCCCCCGTAATCTGATGTCAGGGGAAGCAGAGCGGGCTTTCCTGAATCTGTTCATCCATCCATCCTTCAGACAAAAGCTTCAGACAGAATATAACAGGCCTCATAGGCAAAGAAAATCAAACTGGTTTACGACCCCAAACTCCACACAAGGGATCCCGAGGAATTCCCAGACCTGATGAGATATACAATCCCTCCAGCATGTTGTGGGTCTGCCCCCGAGTCTGCCCCCACAACCAGAGGAGAACTTCATAACCTCCATTTTTATATTTTTATTCGCAGTTAATCAAAAGATGTTAACAGACAAGAATCGGTCATGATAATAATTATTTTATTCCAGGTTTAGAAAGAGGTCAAAGTTTTTTTTGTGCAACGTGAGCGGACGTCACCCCTGTGTTTTTGATAGAGTGAGTTTTAGACGACGTGTATGAATGTTCCTGTTGCCCTTTCAGGATGTCCGTGTTTTATGGTGTGTGTTTCGTTGCCCTTCATGAGTGTGTGTGTGTGTGTGCACTCCTGGAGGGGGAAGGGCGGCTTTCCCCGTCTGAGACAGCAGAGGGATATAAGCCATTTGGTCAACATTCCTCCAGGAGCATAACAAATTACTACTGTGTGTGTGTGTGTGTGTGTGTGTGTGCGGATTGTGTGCATGGTTATGTGTCTGTCTTTTAGCTTTGCTACTCAATCAGCCGTTAAGTGACCCCGTGTGTCGGTCAGTGTGTTGTCAGGTTATTAACTAGTCAGTCAGGGCTTGAGCATGCTGCGGTGAAAATACATGCGCAGCGTTTTGCATTGCACACAAACCTTAACGTCCATTTTGATCTATTTTACTACGTTTTTTTCCTATATACTAGTTTGATAACTGCAACACCGCCCCCTAGGGAATTCATTTACAATTTAGCACAGCACAAGTGTAGTTTGCGGTAACACTGCGCTGCATTTGCTGCTTTGTCTCCAGATTCGAGTAGCTGAAGCTAACGAGTAAACGACGTATAAACCTATAAACGTTCACGTATAGACTCAGCCGTTAGGGTGTGAAACAGGAGGTGTTAATATTGTCTTCGGTGCGCACCAGCTGTTTCACGTCAAACATGGGCATTTTGTCGGAAACCAGAAGTAAACATTTTTGAATTTACGAAATCAACTTCATGTTGTATTGAAGCAGACTTGAAACAAGAGACTGAGACCACGAACTCCTGAGCAAGATGTTTACTGACGTTATAAATCAAGTGAGAAAATAGAGTGAGAAGATTTTCACACAAATACAAGCAAACTTTAACTTCACATGCCAGTTTTTTTGATCTGTGTAAATTCCTGGTCTTGACCCACATGTATGATTATACAGCCTCAGAGACATACAGGCGTTTTCACAGTCATTTATCATTGAAAAACACCAGCAGTTGTCAGTCCCATGTGTTTTGGGTCATCTTTTGTGTCTTTTGTTGGATGTGTTTGTGATGACTAAGTGGTGAGTTCTCCCCATTGTTGTGTTCGACGGAGCAGCAGCTGCTGAGCTGTCAGCTCACTTTCATGTGGGGTTTTACTGTATGACCTCATGCCAGCTCGCTGCTGGTTTGTGCCGGGGACGACATGTTTCTGTGGGTTTGTGCCTGGGCGTGTGTCGGTAAATCACAGGGGCCGATGACGGGACGATCTTAACCAAAAAATAAAAAAATCTGTCGGAGCCCAGTGGCTCAGCTGAGCCGTGTCTGGATTTGAGTGTTTTTCCCATCAGCCCCCTGCAGACCAGACATGGCTCATCTAAGTGAACATCACACTGTACATGTTGTATGGATTTTCAATTCACTGCCACTGACCAGGATCTAGATTTACTGGGTCTATTAACAGATATATTTAATGCCCTGTTGAACTTCAGGTTTTTGAAATAGTTCTGGTGTGAATTCAAACAGAAGTCTAGACACGTGGGCACGGTGCATGTTTTGTCTCCAGAAAAGTTTGGTTATTTTCTTATTTGTGTTTTTTTTTTGTCGGACCTCGGGCTCGGTTTCTTGTGGGCAGCGCTCTGACGGAGTGTGTTTCACAACTCCGCGAGAAGCTGGGAATTTGATTCACCCAGAATAGA